GGACGGGCCGGGGGATGGAGTTCAAGCTGATTGAGCCTGAGGAGGTGGGCCTCTCGGATGTCCCCACCCCTCCTCGCCATCCACTGTCAGCCCCGGAGATGAGAGAACCTGGGAAATGGTGGCATGTGCCCTCACCACCACCCTGCTTTACCTAACCTGAATCCTTGGCATGCCTGAGAATGTGGGCCGGCGCTTAGTTGTAGGGCTAGCTTGGCACTTTGTTTTGTTTTGTTTCGTTATTTACTTAATCTCATGACAGATTAAGCACTTGGCACCAAGGCTCTCAAGTGCTCTTTCTGGCCTGCCCCCCACTTTTCCTCTGCTGAGGTAGCATCTCCACCTCAACACTGTTTTGTCCCCAGGTCGCCAGGCTCTGGGGCATCCAGAAGAACCGGCCGGCCATGAATTACGACAAGCTGAGCCGCTCGCTCCGATACTATTATGAGAAAGGCATCATGCAGAAGGTCGGGGACTGAGGGTCAGGGACAAGAGGGCGGGGACAGTGGCTGTGGGAAGGTGATGCAGGAGAGGGTCAGGAGAGCATTTCTCAGCAAGTTTATAGGAGCAGATAAGGAGCCAGCCAGCAAGACAAGAAATTGTGGACAACCCAAGGGTCCCCTCTCCCAAAAAAGTGCTAAGCAGTTACTGAAAGGCCCAGAGCATGGAAAGGTTGAGAAGGGAAGTGAGCAAGTCTGCCTGGACCAGTAGAAAGGCGCATCCCTCGCCCCCACCCCTCACCGCTGGGTCAACCAGCCCCTCTCTCTTCTGTAGGTGGCTGGTGAGCGTTACGTGTACAAGTTTGTGTGCGAGCCCGAAGCCCTCTTCTCTCTGGCCTTCCCGGACAATCAGCGTCCGGCTCTCAAGGCTGAGTTTGACCGGCCGGTCAGTGAGGAGGACACGGTCCCTTTGTCCCACTTGGACGAGAGCCCCGCCTACCTCCCAGAACTGGCTGGCCCTGCCCAGCCTTTTGGCCCCAAGGGTGGCTACTCCTATTAGCCCCCAGCGGCTGCTTCCCCTGCCGCAGGTGGGTGCTGCCCTGTGTACATACAGATGAATTTGGCGTTGGGGGAATCTTCACTCCAAAACCCACAGATGTCTCTGGGGCAGATCCCCACTGTCCCATCAGGCTGCTCCCCAGAGTCACTGCAAAGGAAAAGTGGAGAAAGGACAAGTCTAAAGGTGGCATCTCACGACTCCCTGGGGCTCCCCCTTTGCCCTGGGGAGTCCAGCTCAGCCTCCTCTGAGGTCCTGCTTAGAGGCCCGAGCCCCACTCCCTTTCCCAACCACAGAGAACAAGAGTTTGTTCTGTTCCAGGGGACAGAGAAGGAGCTTCCCTATTTCATCCTGGCAGGAGGGTGAGGGGGTTCATTGAGCTCCCCAGATCTCCCACTACAGGGAGACTGAAGCCTGAACTCTGCCCCAACCTGTAGCCCTGGGGGGCCTCGGTTCTCAGTTCTTGGTGCTCTGTTCCCAGAGGCAGGGGGAGGGTGAAGGAAGGAACCTGGGATGGGCCTGCAGGGTGGAGGCAGGGAGGGATGGGTTCCTGCTCCAAGGGGCCCTGGCCTCTCCTCTGCCTTCGCCTAGGCCCAAGCCTGGGATTCTACTTCTTCCACCACATCTGCCAGATCTTAATAAAAGCTCCTGCTTCTCCTGTTAGTTCTCCTGTGTCCTCTTTGCTGTCATTGAGGAGGGACCTGGGGTGGAAAGAGCTCTGGCCTTGAGGGCAGGTGACTGGTTTGGAGCCTGGTCCTGACACTCCCATGTGGATTTAGAGAAAGGAAGCTCCCCTCTGACTTTGTTTTTCCTCTAAAAATATGGGCCTAATGATAACCTGCTCTTCTCCCTCCCGGGATTAGTGGAAATAATGACCATTAGTAGAAATAATGGACCAAAGGCACTTAGTAATCTGGATGGCACCCCTGGGCCACCTTCAGCGAGGTTCCTGCAGTGGTCCCCCTCCCCCTAGGGGTGTGGGGGTGGGTGGGCTACTGAACTGCAAGGCCCTCCCTCTTGGGGCTTCCTCAAGCAGGGTTTTGGTCTTTGGCTTCTGTGATCCTAGAGCACCTATGTCCTGTGACCGTGCTGCCCCATATGTACCCCAACTATGTGTTCTCCCTCCCACCCCTGCTCCAGGTTGCTATTTTTGCTGCAGCTGGGGACAAGTGTTTGTCTAGAGAATGGGCCAAAGGAGAAAGGCACCCAGGCAAGAAGGTACAGGGAGAGGCCAGAGCAGGCCCTGAGTTCTGGCCAAAGGAGGAGACTAGGTCTTTAAGGTGGAGGGAGCAGGAAACAGCATAGATTCTCCTTGCCAAATTTGGGAGAGACCAGAGTCCTGGGGCTGAGTTTTTAAGGGGTGCTAGAAAAGGCAAGCCTGAAAAAGTGCCACTAGGGAGCGAGTGTGACTGAGCAGATGTGACAGAGGGTAGCCAAGGAAGGAGGCAGGAGGGGCAGAATGGGTGGTTTTAGAGCCAGCCCCTGTGTAAACAGCTTCCCAGGAAACAGGGGAGACAGGCTCAGGTAAAAACAGGTGTTCTCCTGTTGCTGCAGCTGTGCTGAGGTTGGGCCGGCCCAACTCTGTTAATGCCTGAGCCTCTCCTGCCAGCAGCCCCTGCCCAGCGCTAACCCAAGACCACAGCAGCTTGCAGGAAGGGATGCCTCTCGGCCACTACCTGTAAATAAAAGCAACATTATTTTTCCCTAGAAACAAAAATCATCAATGTACTGACTTACAATTTAGAGCAAGAAACAGAAAATCAATTTTAAAAAACAAGTTTTAAAAAATGTATCATTTAATTCCACATTAAAGCCAGGCTATCACAGTGGGAAGAAGGTACAAAACTCTGAGGGCTAAGAATGCAGTCTTGGAAAAAAAGGGAGTTGGATGAGAAGTGGTGTCCCGGGAAAGGTCTCCCAGGCTGAGATGTTTGACCTCTGCCCTCTGAACTGTTCATTAACAAGCCACTCCTCACAGCTCTTTGTTCAAATCCTACAGCTTGGAGGGGCGCTGCTCCAAAGAGACAGCTACAGCAATCACCGGGAGGAAATTCTTCAGGCTGCAGAAGGGACAGCCAAAACCAAACCATGCTCTAGACTGGATGCAGCAAACCTGGCCCAAGCAGCCTGACTCAGCAGTGGAGCTTACCAGTGCCCCAGGGGGACAGTTCCCCACACACACAAACACAGACTCAACACATGGGCAGGGGCTGCCAATGCCTGAGCTCGGCTCCCGCTGGGTCAGGGTGAACAGTATATAACGGCCAAGAAGATTCCAGCTCTCTGCACGAGACCCACATCCTCTCCTGGGCCGTCACTCGATCTCGGGAAATATTGGTTCAAGAAGAGAAAGAAGGGCCCCATTGTGCGAGAGCAGCAGGCGAGCTCCCCTTCCAAATCTGGAGAGGAGCCCCCTTTTCCCTCAGAGCAGGCAGCTCTGCTGCCGACATTGCTTTCCTGATGGACATCAAAAGGTCAGACCCCAGCTGTGTTGTCACAGCAGAGAAGTGACTCCAGCTCCAGCTCCAGGGTAGAGATGGTCAAGGAACACCCACAGAGTTGGGATCCTTCTTTTTCCTCACCCAAGCCAGAAAGATAACCAGCCCCGACATCCCTCCCC